CACAGTGCGAATGAAATTTTCTGAGTCATCAGCCGGCTTCCTGTGTTGGTAGAGACGAAGGCAAGGATTAAAGAACATCTTATACCAGTGAACATAGGCATTTCCAAAACAAATGTTGGACTCAACCAGCGCTGCGCAGACAAGTGTGATGTCTTTTGTGTGTGCAAAATGTGAGCTATAGCGTGTGGTACCATGAGTATGAGCTCAGAATAGCCTACTAAATCTCTAGAGGCTATCACTGCCTTTTCTGCGGCTGCTACAGCTCTAAGGCAGGGAGGGAGGCCTGTTGCTACTGGATCCAGTTTTGTAGAGAAATAAGCAACAGGTCTGAGTTTGTCCCCATGTTTTTGGCAAAGGACAGAAGTGGCATAACCACCCTTTTGATCAATGAACTGTACAAATGGCTTGTTTGAATTTGGTGAATCGAGTGTTGGAGCATTTATGAGTGCACTTTTCAAATCTGCAAAGGCCTTTTCTGCTTCTGGGGTCCATGTAATTTTGCCGTGGGCTGTCAATTTCTTACCATGGACCGTAGCTGAGAGGGGTGCCTCTCGCTCGAATAGTTTAGGGATCCACTGTCGCAAAATGACGTCATTCCGTAGGAAACTCAACACATGCTTCTTTGTTAGTGGCTTAGGAACATTTTGAATTGCCGCAATTCGTTTGGGAGAGAGAGATTTGCCCTCTGCTGTGATCACATGTCCCAGGTATGTTACTTTTGTCTGAGCAAATTGCAATTTAGACAGGCTGGCTTTGTGACCGCTGTTTGCCAGAAATGTTAGTAGGGCCACTGTGTCTGTTTTGCATGCCTCCTCTGAGGGGCTGGCCACCATAATGTCGTCTACATAAGTCAACAAGACAGAACCTGATGGAAATTCAAAATTTTGCAAATTTAGGTTCAGCTGCTGATGAAAGTATGTTGGACTTTCCGAGTACCCTTGTGCGCATCTGGTCCAGGTGTAGCTACGCCCCTGAAAGGTGAATGCAAACCAATATTGACTTTCAGGATGGACGGGCACAGAGAAAAATGCGTTAGCCAAATCGACAACCGAAAAATGAGTCGCGTGTGGTGGGATGAGAGACAGAATGGTA